TTTCCTGATAGCAGAAGCCCTTACTGTTGGTTCTCCAACCAACATGGGAACTACTCTGCAAGTGAAATGGTGCAGCAAAGGGTAATGGAAGCCATAGGCAGCATCTTGACATTTCAGAGTTACAGGAAAAACTTTCTTGGTGATGTACCCACCACTTTACCACTTCTAAGTCAGCACTGTTCCCTGTGCTAAAGACAGATCCTACAAATGGCCATTTCTTGGAGTTGACTCCTGCCATCAGGGTGGAGCACTGACTTTGTGCTGCTATCTCCAGTGTGAACATGCTCATCTGCCCCTATAAATGAGTGTGGTCTGCTGCTGCACACTGTTCTCACCCTTTGCTTCCTATGCAGCGGGTGCCCTTGTTCAGCACAGGGTCAAAAGAGCCCTCCGGCATCTGAAACAAAAATGTGCTGTCACCTGAACAAGCCCACTAGTTTTAATGCAATGCAACTCTACATCTCCTGCCTCTGTTGCTGTGGGTTACAGGAAGAAAACTAATGTGCTCAGGTGACCAGTGTTACCCTCTTGCATTTCGTGCCTTTCATTCCTATTACAAGCATAGAAACCATTAGCTCTAAAAGGACTGGAGTGGGAAGGTCTTGAATGGAAATGTTCTCCAAGCAGTAATTTTGTCATTCATGTTGCCAGCAAGAAAGAAAGCGGCTGGGGGAACAAAATTTCAGCCTATTGCCTGTTGACTTTTTTCAGCTCTCAGAGTAAGAGAACACAAAATTAAAAGGTTTGATGGACTATCATAATTGGAGCACTTCAAGCTGTATGAATGCTTTTCAAATGGCTCTCAAAACGCATTTCCTCCGTCAAAAATAATTCCTTCTTTTGTCAGGCTCAGAAAAGTAACTAATAACTAGCAGATATGTTTATAACCAAGAGAACGCATGGTGTGGGCCTCATCCAACTCTAAACTGTATAGGTATAAATCACAAAGTGTACCTCTACTGTGTACAAGACACACATTCTCACCAATGCAATCAAGAGGATGTGAGCCCACCAAACCATGCAACAGAAGCTGCACAAGACGACCGAGACCAGCAAAAATACTGAATCTGGGAGAGGCTTTGTCAAATCCACCTCCCTGGAAGGTGGAGGGAGGGGGCAGTAGTAGGCCCAGGGGTTGTTTTTTCTAATGTAGGACATGCTTGGGGTGCTTGTTACCTTGCTAATGTGGAACTCCAGCCTCCTCATGTATCGTTCAACTGCTTTGATTTGCTGGGGGAAACAGAAAGCAGAGAGTGAGGCACATGTGAACACATCTGCAAGATATTTCCACTCTAGCTTGTGTCTTCAGATCCCCAGGAGTCTGAGGAACTCCTCCTTATGCATGCAAGGCATTGCTGACCATGAATCTGGCCTCAACTGTCCCACCTTACTGTGACTAAGCCGCTGCTGAAAATGGAGCTCACTGATATCTGCACATAATATGCTTTCAGGTACAAAACCATGTTTTCTGATGGAGTCTGCAACAATTTTCTTTGATGCGAGTTCCCTAGTTTATTTGAAATTAGTAAGTTGAGCACTTTTGGCTTAAAAACCTCTGTATTTTCACTACTTTGAAAGCCTATATTAAAACTGGTAAGATTTTGCATTTCAAAACCTATTCTCCTGAATGAACTGTTTTTGAAAGCAAAATCAAGCTTGGCATTTTAACTGAGAAAAGCCAAATAGTTCAGGAAAAGCTTTTGAGGGCTTTTATTTTGTTTCAGCCAAAATTTGCCATACAGAAGGAATACTTTTAATTCTTCAGCTTGTTCTCCCCCCCAGCAGTGCCCAGAGCAGGAGTAAGCAGTGATCACACAGGCTGGAATTACCCCAAGGGCAGCTATCAGCAAGCCCACCTCTGTACAGTTCGCTTCTCTGGGGATTTTGTCCTGCTCTTTTGAATGTTCATGCCATGAAGCGCTGGCTGGCTCTCAGAGGAGCATAACATAAGAGGAAAGGCAGCTGCTTGAGCCCTTGGCTTGTCCCTCTGGAGTTGGCCTGTAGACACCCAGCATGTGCCCTTGCCAGCCTCCCACCCCTGCTGGCGGTTACAGGGCAAAGTTGTACAAGCAACTGATTCAATGGCTTGCAGGTAACTTCTGCATCAAAGACATTAGTCTGGCTGCTAGAGCAGGCTGAGAGTTTCCCGCTCTGCACATCGCACAAATACCAATGCTACCTTCCAAGTGTTAAAAAGGGTAACATACCTTATCTAAATCGTACAGGACTCCCTGCAACAGAGAAGATGAAACTGTGATTTATTTTGAAACACAACAGTGCCAGAGCACTGTGAGACAATAATATTTATCAGTGAATAGAAATCGAAACCAAGACGAGAGCTGGAAGGGACGAAGATCATGCGTTCACATGCCTGGTTTCCCACTCCCAGCCCATGCCTGTTCCAGTACCTCTGGATGGGTACTGTGCTTCTCTGAACAATCACAAGTATGACACGTACCAGGCGTGAGTTTCTTCTCATGTCTTTTAACTGAGCAGTCAGCTTGTCCAGCTCTGTCTGGTGCACTTCCAGATACTCGCTGTAAACACAAACCAGAGAAGGGAGGCATGAGCTCTGCAGCGTGTCACAGAGCTGCTTCCTAAGCACTATACAAGGAAATCTCTGCAACAAACGGCCTTCCTCAAAAAGTTGATCTGTATTGATCTGTTCTAAAAACAGTTTCCCTGCTGCCTTTTTGAGAATAATTAGAAGCCATTTGTTTATGCAGCCCAGTGTTTTCCTGATGTTAAACAACCACCTTCACGTAAGCTATCTTCTGCTTAGTTTACAGGCTGGTGCTTTCAAATTGCTGCTATCGTGTCTGGTTGGTAAAAGCCCTTATCGTCAGAAGCGTTATCTTAAGGACTATACGTGCTTCTGATATGACTCCAGGAAACCTGGAGGGGAAAAAAGAAAAATCTACTGTTGAAATCCCTGTCCTTGGGACTTTTTCAAGCAAACAGAATTGGAATTCTGGACTGATTTTTCCTACACGTTTCCAATCTTAAGTTTACTCCAACAGGTACATTCTTCTATCATTAAGGATCTTTGCTTCTGTGAAATGTTTTTCTATGTGCTAAAATGTCCCAGAAGGCTTCGGTCAACAAGCACAATAACAGCTCTTACTCCAGGCCATTCTTCAAGGCCCTGTAGACCTCTTCCATTCTTTTGGGCTGGGGCTCCTTGGGGGTGGTGCTGTTCTTGTGGCCCAAATTATGCATTTTCTTCACCTTTGCTTGGGGCTTCTTGAGCGCAGAGGAATTTTCAATAAAAGAATTACACCTGCAAAGTGAACATAAAAGAGGAGAAAATCCCTATAAATCATAACAATCTCAAAGAAGCGTAACTTAAAGAGATCTTCCTGATCTTATCTGTGCTAGAGAAATGATTCTGCTTACATGCCTGCTGCTTAAATGGCTGTGTTTGTTTACAGGTTGAGAAGTCTGAGCATTCTGGGATGTGTGCCATCAGCTTTTGATGTGCCAGTTGCCTCTCCCAGATATGAAGTCCCAGGCTCATCAGGCATTTCTCTGTCTTATCCCGTGCCTGTCCTGCCTCCTGCTGCTTAGACTCAGCCATGAAAGGGCTAAGAGCATAGGGCTGCCTAGATAATTTCAGGTGTAAAGTCTGGAGGTTCCTAAGACTGGGGACTGGTCACGTGTGTGTCTGGAGTCCTGATGGCGACTGCAGCTCCTCACAGGGAGCAGAGGGGCAGCGCTGAGCTCTGCTCTGTGTGACAGCGGCAGGGAACGGCATGGAGCTGCGTCAGGAGAGGGCAGCTGGGGGTCAGGGAAAGGGGCTGCACCACAGGGCGGTGGGCATGGAACGGGCTGCCAGAGTTCAAGACAACATTCTCAGACATAGGATTTGAATTTTGGGTGGTCCTGTGTGGAGGAGGAGTTGAACTCAGTGTTCCCTGTGGGTCCTTTCCAACTCGAGCTATTGTATGATTCTCTATCATACTGCTGGTGGACCACAAATGGAGGACAGCTGTGCTGCTTGTAGGTGGCTCTTTGGCTCCCCTCCTGCAGGTCAGCATCTAACCCTACTGCTGGCAACTGGGAGGTGACCTCCTCACCATGTGGCTCCTCCCTGACTGTTAACTGTTGATCTGGAGCTTGGTGGGGTTCACGCAAGTTGAAACTAATTGGAAAGCAGCTCTGGAGGCATCTGGCTGACCCAGTAAAGTGTGTGGCTCAAAGCCTGAGGTCCTGTCTAGCCAAAAGGACCACGCAGGGAAAGGCTCTGCACCAGGATCTGCTTCCAGCAGGACGCTGAAGCAGCTCTGCAAAAACAAACAAAAAAAGTGGGGCTGCTTTGACTTCACAGCAGCAATGAGAAAACTGACTTTTAGGTAGCAGCAGCGTGAAGCTGGGGGCGGTGGAAAGCTTATCATAGTTCTGTGCATTTTACTTGTGAAAAGATTGCTGCATAAGTTAGGAAATTAAAATCATTCTCTGAAATGTTCTCACAACTCTGAGAAATGTGAGGAAGCCTTGCGTTAAGGGTGGAGGGGAAGCACTTGGTAGTTAAGATGCAGGCTAACAGCTTAATGACATGGCCAATATATAAGGAGATTTTAGCCTAGAAAACTTATTCCTGCAAGCTGGGGAGAAGGAAGTTCTCCATCACCTCTTTGCTGCCTTCTAAGCCCCCAGTCCCTTTAGCACCTGACTGTGAAAGCCACTTAAAGAACATGGTACTTGCCTGGAGCGTCTCTCTTGCAGACCGCTGAAGCCAGCAAAGGACTGGCTCCTGATAATCCCATTAGGACCTCCTGGAGAGAATGAATGTGATCCTATTGACATGATTTCCGGAAGCCGGGAGGATATTCCTGAAAAACAACAGAAAGAAGGTCAGGGATGGGGTGGGCAGGAGGTGTGCTGTGAAGCAGGGGCATCAGAAAGGAGAAAAGGCAACCCAACCCTAGGAGGGGCTGTGAGCCAGGGCATGAATACAACCCCCAAATCCGGTCTGCTGAGGTCTGTTGCTTGGTTTGCAGAATAAATTACAAGAGTGGACTATGAAAACCATGCTGCGGCTGCAATGAGGATCTGGGTGTGGGGCTGGAAACCAGCTGCTGTGATGTGCTAATCTCAGCAGTGGCCCCAATTCATGCCATGCCTGGCATGCTTCTCCCCTCAGTTCCAGTGTCAACATCTGCCACACCAGAAGTGCTACCTTGTGAGTGCCACGCTACACTGAGGTGGTCAGTGAACTAAGAAGAAGGACCCTGTTGCACCCCTGTCTCACAGGACCCGTCCATTCACCACTGCCTTCCTTCCGGGGGTGCTAACACCACTGCTTTGGGAAACACATGGAGAAGCTAAGCCAGCTTAAAATCACCTGACAAAAAAAATGAACAAAAATATTATTTTCCCATTTATTTTAAAAGCAGAACCTGGCACACCTCATACCCTCAGTTCATTTCACCCTGCATCTGCTCCACAGCTGTGGATGAGTCTGGGGCTGAGACAGGGCTGCAGCAGGACTCCAGGCATTCGGGCTGGAGCTGCCTGCAGGCAACAGAGTTGATGCTTTGCGACACTGCAGCCTATGGGACTCAGTGGGTAAATTTAAAGCAGCCTCTCATCCCCACAAGTGACTAGTCCATAGCTGAGTGCCCGAAAGGGAGCCACGTGTGAGGACTACAGGTTTGCAGCCTGAGCCTTCACAACCAAACGTATTTATTGCAGATAAGGAGCAGAGTTACGCAGTGCCTCCATGGCAAACACTCACTGGAAAAAGCAAATATGTGGGGAAACATCGTGCACAGTCCAGTTCTGTTTGATTTGTAATGCTAGGCTGGACAAATACTCCCTGAGGTGGCATTCACCACTGTAGAGAGCTGCTACTTTTCTCTGGAGAGGATTGTATTGCTCAAGAAGAGCTGCTTTGTCAGGAATATTTCTATAAGAGCTCTGCCAAAAATATTTCTTCCAGCCTCAGAATTGTCAGCGCTATTAGCGATGTGAAATTTTCTCCGTTACGCAACCCAAACAGCATCAGTCTCCTGATTCTGGAAGTGAGAACTGATCAGTACCCTGTAACTGGGCAACCCTCACAGATGCAGCCTTGGCTTTGTGATAGGTGTGCTTAAGCCAAATTTTCTCCACTGCTGTGACCAGCAGGTAGCTGTGATCCACCTGGAAAGGTTTCTGTCTCCATGCAGCCTCATGTCTGGGCAAGAACAATCACTGAGGTCTCTCTCAAGCCAGCTATGCCAACCAAAGCCTTCCTGAACAATCCCCAGGCACATCTAGGGAATTAGCATGGGCCAGAAGCTATTCCAGCTACTCTAGCATGCAGCTTGGATGTGGCCAGACCCCATTTTTGGGAGACTTTTATAGCTGGAGACTATTCCAATCCATCTGGCCTTGTGCCTGGAGCACAGGAGCAGGAGTGACGGGTTTATGGCAGAGCTCCACAGGAGCATCTGCAGATGTGAGCCCTGGCTGCCAGTTGTCCAGCTCCCAGCCACCACTTCCCATCCCTGCTGTCTCCCAGCAGCAGTGCTGGTACCTGCTAGGATCAACTTTGGGATACGGAATTGTCTTCAGCAGGCCAGTGCCATAACCTGGAAGCAAAACCTTGCACGCTGTTCATCTAGCAGTGTGTTTGTTGTATTCATTATGTTCACTATGCAGTTATGATCATGCTGTGAAAACCCTTCTGAGAACCCGACCAAACCCCTCTAAGAAGAGCAGCAAGCTTTGAGGGTGTCCAGCAGGATGGATAGAACAGCGTGGCCAGCATCTGGTGACATCACAGAATCACAGAATGGCCAGGGTTGGAAGGGACCTCAAGCATTATGAATCTCCAACCCCCCTGCCACATTCATGGACATCAACCTCCCCATTCAATACTAGGCCAGGCTGCCCAGGGCTCCATCCAATCTGGCCTTGAATTCCTCCAGGGACATGTGAGGGTGGAAGCTAAATCCCGCTGACAAAAAACGTCAGCTCACAAACCCTCAGGAAACAAGAGGAACAAGAGCAAACCTGATGCTGGGTGCTAGTCATGGCTACGTTGGCCATAAAAACATAGTTCTTTTGTTTTGGAGAAGCTTAAAAATGCAACAATCTTGAAAAAGAAATGTACTGATTTATTTATTTTACTTATTTTGCTGAAGTTCTCAGGGGCTTTGCAGTGCTTTAGTAGTGAGGGCTTTGCTCACAGTACCAAAAGGAAATGTGGATGAAGTGCAATTGAAATGCAAACTGGAGACCTGCCTGGAACTACTTCTGCTTTGCTATTGCATAGAATGGTCAGAACTCAGAGCCCACACTGGCTCGTGCTCAATATATATATGTTCATCGGGTTAGAGTTTGCCTCTATCATACAAACACAATCTGCTGTTAAAATTTAACATTACATTGCCAACACCTCAAACGTTATTTAACATTACATTGCCAACACCTCAAACGTTTCCAGCTGACCGCACACAGCTGCACTGACCCCCTCTGGAAGCAGCAGCCCCTTAGCCCAGATTTGCACAGGCACCACGTTCACAGTCATGGATTATTTATGACACTGACATCTAGCAAATACCCTTTGGCTGATGAGTATTTGCCATGCTGTGGGAAAACGCTTTGCTGAGGAGCAGTTATATTCCTGCTTACTATTAAACCATTCACAAGCTTACCACAGAGTTGAATAATACAGCTGTACTCTGATTGTATACATGCATGTAATCACTGGGGTAATTTCATTAAGTCTCAGTCCACAAGGACTCACCCAGATCTGTTATAGAACTGACCACCGTCCCTACAGAAGCAGGGGGATTCTGGTGATGCTCCAATGTAGTGACCAAGTTTCTAATAGTTACCTGATACAAAGCTACCATCTTCTAGTTATAATATGCATTCTTCTCTCAATATTAAAGCATGGTGTGCTTTTGGGAGCTGTTGGAGAGAGTCCAGAAGAGGGACACAAAGATAATCAGAGGGCTGGAGCACCTCCCCTGCGAAGACAGGCTGAGAGAGAGGAGCTTGTTCAGCCTGGAGAAAAGAAGGCTGCAGGGTGACCTCATTGCAGCCTTTCAATACCTAAAGGGAGCCTAATAACAGGAGGGGAGTCAACTCTTTGAAGGATAGACAACAGCAGAACAAGCGGAAATGGTTTCAAGTTGAAGGAGGGAAGTTTTAGGTTGGATGTTCGGGGAGAAGTTCTTTACAGAGAGAGTAGTGAGGTGCTGGAACAGGCTGCCCAGAGAGGTTGTGGATGCCCCGTCCCTGAAGGTGTTCAAGGCCAGGTTGGATGGGGCCCTGGGCAGCCTGGTCTAGTATTAAATGGGGAGCTCCCATTGGTGGCCCTGCATGTGGCAGGGGGTTGGAGCCTGATGATCCTTGAGGTCCCTTCATACCCAAGCCATTCTATGATTTTATGAGAATGTGCATCTGAAATGGTAATAAAAGCTTTGGAGATTCAAGACTCTGCCCCAGCGGTGGATCGAACCAGCAGAAATTGAAATCTTTTTTCATTATTTTAAAATCTCTACAGCTGATGAACCGCCAACGTTTCACTTAAAAAAAAAAATCATCAGTCCGCTTCCTGCTAAGATAAACATGTACTGTGTGTGTGTGAGCATAATTAATACAATTAGTATTGCCCATGCTAAGTGTGTGGCAGCTGAGTGATGAGTCTAGCAGCAATGCTGAGGGATAAGGTGAAATTGTATCAGTATTTTTTCCTGCCTGACTCAGTGACAGTGTGCAGTGGGGAATGGCAGATAATTGATGGTGCCTCTGTCCCCGGAGAAATAAAGTCCCATTGCTCTCATCTCTCCTAACAGCTGAAACAGCTGAGCCTGAGCTAATGAGAGAAGTGACTGCTGAGCCCATCACTTCCACAGGGCTGCCCTCTTTCAGTCACCCTCTGAATGGACTTGCACCTCCCGTAATGCCAACATATATTATAAATAGTGCAGGTTTCAAGCTAAGAGATGGGAAATTCAGTTGGAAACATGTTTGCTAAATCAAGACTGACCTTTTTGTTTGCTTTCCCCCTCTAACTGACCTAGAGACCACCAATAAATACATGTTGGCGGTGCGCCCACGGTTGATCCCACTCTCTCATAGCATCTGCAGTTATGGCTCCAGGTCCTGGGTTTGCTGTAGAATGTTAGGGAGCTGAAGCTGAGGGTTTGCAGCACAGCGGCTTTGGGGATGCTTTTGGATTAAATATAATCCTTGATTAAAAGGGAAGGTTGGGGGTAGATTCAAGGGCCGATCTGATCCTTGATAATCCTTTGTTCCTATCTTATTTTTTTATGTGGCATGCGTCTCAAGGCCCTGTCTGGATCTGCAAAGATGTAATCCCCATAGTGAGATGTTTTGTCTGATGTTCCTTGTGCTGATCTGCGGTCTGAAGACTGTGCTTTAAGATTTAGTGATGATTGCTTGGGCTAAGGTGAGAGGGTCCACTAAACCGCTCTGAGCAGATTGTGGCAGCAGCCAAAGGGCTCAGCTGTGCATGCGAGGAACCCCTCTTAACCAAAAACCTGGCACCTGGATATGTCTAACAAATGAACTGGGAACTTACTGAATAATGAAAGAATATATTCATCTCTCATCTGTGTCAAGGATTATAGTGTGCTTATCAGAGTAGCTTGTTAACTTCAAAAGGTAAAATGCTTTATTGCAACAAAACCTCATTTAGCAATGTACACCTCCAAAAGAGTAAGTACAACAAGGGAAGAAACTGGCTATTCCCTACAAGTCATGGCTCCTGCACAGCAAGCCAATTCTTTCTGCTTTGCATGAACAAACCTGAAGAGCACAATTCAGTTCCGCACTCTGTCTCAGTCCAATTCCAAGCTCATTCAGTGCACATTCATAGAATCACAAAATCAGTAAGATTGGAAAAGACCACTAAAACCATCTAGTCCAACCAGCCCACCCCCACCATCCCCACTGACCACCCTCAGTGCCACATCCACAAATCCCTTGAACACCGTCAGGGGTGGTGACTCTACCACCTCCCTTGTGCAGCCTGTGCCACTGCCTCACCACTCTATCTGAGAAGGAATTTTTCTTAATACCCAACCTGAACCTTCTGTGAAGGCAGCTAGTGCTGCTTGCATTTGTGGTCTACAATCTAGTCTTCATTAATATCAATTTCCCAATTTCTTCCTTCTGATTAATTGAATTACCTTGGCAATATGAGGCCAGCATGGCCAGTAGCCCAAACTACCACCTGGAATTTACTGTTTCCATGTTTCCCAGACTCCTAGCAGGCAAAGAGGTATGTATCTTGGATGACAATTCAAACATTCTTGTGGATGAATTTTTAATATAAAAGGTTGACAATAATATATGGGTAAGAGCCCTCAAAAGCATTATAAAAACTTCCACAAGGAAATTAACTCTCTTACAGTAGTGTTAACGTTTTTAGGACAAAAACTCCTACGCATTAGCACATAAGCTCCTAATTTCTAAATGTG